TCGAGGACTTGAGATGGCTGAGGTGGGAAGGGGAAGGTAGCTTCTAACTTCAGCTCTTCAGAGAGCTCCCTACAACTGAAGGCAGAGGGCATGGGAGGTGGGGCTTCCCTGGTGCCAGAGGAGGGAGGGGCTGTTTCTGACCAAGGTGATTGCTCCTGTAGGGCTGGGGCATTTGGAGCCCGTGTAGTGAATATCGTTCCTGAGCCTCTCTGTGCGTGGATATAGGTGGATCCAGGCCTAGGGGAGTTCAGTGTACCCCAAGCAGGTGAAGTGAGTTTCCCATGGGAGACTGTGGGTCCACATTTGATGGTGCTAAGGAGAGGTGGGGCGATCAGTGCAAACTTCCTGTAGGAAGTAGGCCTTGCAACATGAACTTCCCAGGCAGAGTCGGTGGTGGCAGCAATCGCTACGGGTCAGGAAGGCCTTGGGTGTGTGGATATCACCGTGATCCTAGTTCCTCTGGAACAGACAGTCCAGGTCCAAATGAGGCAGTGATAGGCATGCCAGGGCATGCGGGGGTCTGTACACCACCCTGTCACCTGGTCGCCTCTCATCTTGTACTAGTAGGAGGAGGTTGTAGGTCAAGGTGGCTGTTAAAAGTGACCTTGGGAGTCACTGAGTTGAAATCCTGTGCTGCTTTTGGGTTGTACCACGGCTTGCCTAACCTTCCTGCCTCAGTTTCCTCATCTGGAAAATGGGAACATTGAAGGCCACAGACCTCCTGGGGCAGCTGTGCAGATTCAACGAGGCCAAGTGTGCTAGTTCTCCTCAGCAGCCCCAGCAGCAGCAATAGCTGCCTTAAGTTGGCAAGTCCCACAGGCACAGGGCGCTCGGCTAGGAGGAAGGGCTGGATGAGGGAGCTTTTGCAATTTGCCCCAACTGCTCTGGCCTCCCTGCCCCTGGGTGGTGAGCAGCCCCAGGCTGGAAAGAGCAACAAAACAGCCACTTCCTTCCTCACTAGGGTCCTCTGAGCTGTGGTTGCCAGCCAGGAGGAGATGTGAAGCTGCTGTGGCTGCTGGAGCCAGCCCCCCGCCCTTGGCCCTGTCTTGGCCCCCTGGTGTACCCCTGGTCCCTTGGTCCTGCCCTCCCCCAACTCAGCGGGGTTCTGGGGCCACACCCTGCATCCCTAGACTGTGCAAACAACATTCTTACCTCCAAAGGCTCCCAGGGTCTACCCTTCCTTTTGGGGGAAGACCTCAGTTTTCTTTTTGCCTAGCCAGAGGCCATTCTCCAGCATGAGAACCCTTGTCTTTCCTCCTAATTTTCTCTTGGCCCCCAGCCTTTCCATGGCCACTGCCCCTGGATCAAGCAGCTACATCACTGGTCTCTCTATTTAATGTCTGTACTTTAAAAACAACTACCATTATACTCATGTCACCACCATCACCACCCGAGGACAACCAGTTGTATCCTTCACCCATCCCGCCACCAAAGTCAAACAGAAACTGCTGATAACCCCAATGGCAACCCTCATCAGCCAACATCAGACAGAAATGACAACCACTTCCACCAGGAATGTCCCTAGCATGACCCACTACTATCACCACCCATCATCACTAACAGCAGCAATCCATAATAACCGACCACCATGAACAACCACCACATGATCACACTACCAGCCACCAACAACCACACATAACCAAGTACCGCTGAAACAGTGGGCAACAGTGCTCCTTTCAAAAACCAACAGCCACCACTACTCCTGAGATAGTTACCAAAAATAAAGAGTGAGCAACCAAAAGCAAAATGAACTCTACCAATGCCACCCAACCCTGAGTAACAGTGACCACCAATTGCTATCATTCCATGGGTCCACCCTCCAGCTGAAAACAACCAGCGACCATGCACCAATATTCATCACTAGTTGGCACCAGTGGCAACCATCACCACTGCTAGCCCACCCACAAGAACCATCGTTACCACCGACTTGCAACCACCAAAAGCTACATCACTGCCACCAATGGCACCAACGACCCCATAGCCAACTTTCAACAGCAACTCCTCTTCAACAGCAAAGAGTGAGTCACTTCCACCTGCTGCCATCACTAATTCTAGCTATGAACGAGCGTCACAAACAATGGCAGCTACTGTGTACCGACTGCATGTTTCATGCTCTGTGAAGCACTTTACAAACGCTGTCTCACTAAGTCTTTCAACACTCTTTCTGGCACCTGGCACCCACCAGGAAGACGTTGGAGGTATTGGCCTCATGGATGGGTTCCACTCTTTTTCTCTGCCATGCTCCTGTGGGCTGAGTTTCTCCCTTCCCAGACTCTGTGGGCCAAGCAAACTGTTGACTAAGCATTTTTCACACAGCTTCCTTGGGAGGGGTTGCTTTTCTTTCAAGTAGCAAATCATTTCCTGTGTTCTTTTGATCAAAGTCTGCCCATCGGAGCTCCTGTCTTCCTGGCGTGGCTCCTTCTTGGAAGATTTCCTGTCCTAAGCCCAGAGCTCTAGATCTGGTGACTTGGCTGTGAATAACGTGGATGGGTCCTTGGGTCAGTGATGCCCAATTTATCATCAGCTTTCTGAAGGAAGATGTTCCCTCTCAGACTAATATAATCCCTGTCTCTTGGTCTACCTTCCTGCCTCCACCCTGGTCAGTCACATGTGGCGACTGCCAGAAGCCCTGCAGTTGTCACACTGGCTCTGTGACTCTCAGCCACATGCCTTCACTGACAGAATGACAAAAAATGAAAGCTGAAGTGGTTTGCAGATGCATGAAATGCGGGGGGTGCCTTTTATGCCAGCTCTCTTAATGTGTTATGATGCCATTGGGTCTAAATCCATGACAATGAGTCTCCCCACCCTGTCACCAGTCATTAGACCTCCACCTCAGCAAGCAGCAACGCATTGGACTGCAGCATCTCCGCTGTTGTCCCCACATGGACGGGTACCAGTGGTGGTGTGGACTTCTGTGATTGCTACAGCCAGACCACCTGTCACCCGCACAGGCATGCTGTCTCTATACCATCACTGTACTCCACTGTCCATTTGACACAGCTTCCCCTCCCAGCTGTGGACTCAGCATCGCTGAACCCACAGACCCTCTGAAGTTCCAACTGAGAGGTCCCCAAAACACCGTTCACATCTTGACCGACTTCCATATATGACATATGTGGGAACTGAGGCCCAGAGAGGGGAAGTGACCTGCCCAAGCCCACAAGGGAAGATGAGGGACCAAGCTGAGCTGGAAACTGGGTTTCCTAAGCCCCAAAGAGAGGGGTCTATCCCTGTCCCTGCAGACACTGTGATCCCTCAGGGCCACCTTCTGTCCTCCAGTTACTGTTCCACCCTTAGCACCCATCATCAGTCTGACATCCTGTCCACCACCATATGGGAGCTTGGTCCCTGGTGAGGGATGCTGGGGGCACCTGAGCTGTACTGAGGGACCTGCAAAGGGTCTGCTGTGCCTCTCCATCACCTCGCTTTCTGATGCCTCCAGAGCACATCTACCTGGCTGGTTTCCCCACCCCAGCACTTCAGGGCCCACCCTTGAAGGACTCACCATGGTGGGGGTTGGCTTCTGGATTCCTGCCCAAATGGGTTGTGGCAGGGGTGCAGGCTCAGGGAGCTCTGGGGGGTGGTTCTGGCATGGCCCTGCTCCTTCTCCTTCACCAGACTCCCAGCCCTAGTTCCTCTTACAACAGCCCCCTTCTCACTTCCTTTGGCGGGAGGGGCCCGCGGCTACAGGGGAGGGAGGCTGGGCCCAGAGGGCGGGGAGAGAGCGCCAGCAGCTGGCAGGGCTGAGGGAGCCGTTGGGGCCTCTGGGCCTGAAGAGAGAGGTCAAGGATTGATGGCAGCTGCTGCCAGTTCCCAAAAGTCCCCTTCTCTAATTCCTCGGTGACAGAGGCTGCCACAAGGAGCACAGGTCACCTGGCTGCAGGACTGACCCTTCTGTTCAGGGTGACCCCAGGAAGCATCTGGGCTGCTTGGGTCTCATCAAAACCACCTCAGACATGTGTCTGCTCTGGGGATCCCTGAACAAACATCTGCTTCCAGAGCAGCCTCTGCTGGTCCTTCAGAATGGCGCGTGTGTGTGTGTGTGTGTGTGTGTGTGTGTGTGTGTGTGTGTGTGTGAGAGAGAGAGAGAGAGAGAGAGAGAGAGAGAGAGAGAGAGAAGCAGAAGTGGAGGGTACCAGGAGCTGGGTGCACCTGGAAGGTCCCAGACTTTGGAGGTTAGATCTGGATTGGGAGGTTAGATCTGGATTTAGAGACCCCCAGCGCTGTTACTTCCAGGGTCCTTCCATTTATCTCATCATAAAGCGGGGATGTGACCCCTCACAAAAGCGCCTGGCACACAGAGGATCTATCAAGTGTGGGCCTACGGCCTGATCTTTGGGAGATCAGCAGGCCACGTACTGGTCTAGTTGAGTCAATGGCAGTTCTGAAAGGTTGTCACCTCCCCATGCCACACAGCGAGGAGGTGGCCAAGGCAGAAATCTAGACGCTGGGAGAGTGGCAGGGAGGCTGGAAAACTGGGATATCCCTGTGGCACTGCATCCGGTCTAGAGGTTGCCAGGACGCCTGCGCCCTTTCTCCATGAGCCTCCTGTGCAAGTTTACTTAACAGTTTGTCTTGGTGCCTGCAAACTTCAGCAAATGCTTCCAGGCACTAAGAGTGAATATGCAGGCAGGAGGTCCTCCACCTTGTTGGGGGCATCAGGGGAGACTTCTGGGAGGAGGCGACTTTGTGCTGAGACTGCAGGGTGAGTTGGAATTAACCAGGTGAAGAAGGAAAGGGAGCGTATACCTGGCCAAGGAAACAGTTTAAACAAAGGTTCTAAGAAGGGAGGATGGTGGGAAGACAGGAAATTCTGGGAGGCAGGTGCAGCTGGAGCTTACCGGAGTAGGAGGCGCCAGACCGTGTGGCTTTGAGAGCCTCCTTGACAAGCTGTATTTTTGTCCTAAAATCACTGGACTCTAGTCTGTGTTGGTAAAAGCCCCCTTCTGGGCTGCTGGGGTGGGAACACACACAACACGTGCAGAAATCTACACAAGATAGAACTTTATTGATGTAGGGCTTCCTGGTGAAGAGTGTGTGGGCTCCAGGGCAGCCTGTAGCACCATGATGGGGGCGGCCTGGATGTCTGGGTCCCCCTGGGACAGGCCAGGCAGAGGTTGGGGTGGATATTCCCAGCTCTGCCCCATCCCTGTAGCTGGTCTGGTCAGGGGGAGGGTTTCAGGGAGGTGGTGCTAATTCCCCTCCCCCACGGCGGACATAGACCCCCTCCAGCTCAGAGTGGAGGGATAGGGCAGTGCTTGGGGTCAGGGCACTGGCTGACCCCCTCCCTACCCCCACTCTTCACAGTACATATTCCGATCAAAGGTGGGGGGAGTTTGGGGGACTCCGTAGGGGTGGGTGAAAAGGGCGCTAGGGCGAACAGTTATTCCCTCCTCCAACCCATCCTGGAAGGGCTCTCACTGTGAACTAGGAGTGGGGCTGAGGAGGGGCCCTGGGGGTGGCCAGCTCCTCTCCATCTCCTAGCCAGGGGCCCTGCAGGGGCTTCCAATAAATAACTTTTGGCTCCATCTCACCCTTCACTCCCAGCTCCCGCCCTCGCGGGCTCCTTCAGGCTGGCCAGCTGCAGGCTGGGTTCCCCACAAGCAGGTGCCCACTTGTGGCTCAGGGGGCCGCGAGCCCCCTAGCGGCCATGGCAGGTTTTGCAGCACATCTGGCGGAAATAGGCTCGGCTGCAGAACTGAAATTTAAGCACTAGGGGGCAGTAGGCGACCTTGTTCACATCCTTGCACTCTGCAGAGGGCGGGAGAAGGGGGATGGGAATCAGATCTCAGAGCCCTTGAGCTTCATGTGGATTACTTCATTTCACCCCTCTAATGCGAGAGTCTCTCAAGTGAATATATTTTTTTTACCCTGACAGATGAGAAAACGAAGGCACAGAGGTGGAAGGTAAGCCCAGGCAGTTTGGTTTCTGTGCCTGGAGTAAGTAATTCTATTGCTATGAAATATTTTCCTATTGCTATGAAAAATAAATTTACTTAGGTAGAAAAATGGTTATATTTAAGGCAGCAGTTCTCAAGGGGATGTGATTTTTGTCCCCCTAGGGGACATCTTGTGATGTTTTGGGGGGGGATCTGGCGAATGTCTGGTGACATATTTGGTTGTCACCACTGGGAGAGGTGCTATTGCCATCAGGTGGGTAGAGGTCAGGGATGCTGCTCAATATCCTACTGTGCACAGGGCAGCACCACGACAAAGAATCACGTGGCTCAAAATGTCAATCGTGCCTGAGGTTAAGAAATTCTGATTTAAGGAAAGAATATTAGGGCCAGCCAAGTGGCACGTTGGTTAAGAGCTGGCTTGGGACGCCAGCTCTGAGCAGCAGGGCCCCAGTTCGGATCCCACATGAGGGCCAGTGATGCTGCACCCTCTACAGCTAAGATGGTGAACAACAGCTCAACCCTTGAGTTGCCAGCAACCGGGTAGACTGTAGCCCCTGCTGCAGTGGGCTGCTGTGAACTACCGTGAGTGGCTGGCAAGCAGCGAGAGAGCGCCCGGCAGCCAGAGTGAGCGGTTGTCCAATGGCCAGCGAGCGACTGCCTTACCCGGGAAGAGTGCAATGATAATACCAAAATGGGCCAGTGAAGCAACATCCTCCACAACTAGACTCAAGAACAAAAGGACAACAACTTGTCTGTTCCCCTCCCCCAATTCCCCTATAAAACCTTTTAAAAAAAAAAGTATATTAGGCAAGTAAGTAATGATATTGATGGAGATGAATAAATTGAAGGTCATGGAAGTGACTGGGGGAGTGACCCGAGTTTGGGCCCCCAAAAGGATCAGGTGCCTAAAATGCTTGGCACACAGGGGCACTTAATAAATTGAGGCTGGCTTGGAGGAGACTGGAAGGCATTTCAGTGGTTGGACAAGGTCTGCCAATGGTGAGGACCCCCATGCTCTCCTGTGGCTTCCTCTGGATAGGGCCCTCCTGTTGTCCCTTGGCCTTCTGCCCCACATACCTTCAGGGCCATCCCCGGGTGGCGTGCTGTCGCACTTGGCCTCACACTGCTGCACGGTGGGTGGCCGCAGCGCCTCAGCACACTCATGGGATGGCTGGCCTGTGTGGCTGGTGCAGCGCACAGTGCGCTGTTGCTGTCCAAGGCCGCACTGTGCAGAGCACTGCGAGGTATCCCCGATGAGCCACCACCCAGCTGCCTCTGTCTCCTCTCCCCGCCCCCCCCCCACAGGAAGCACCCACCTACCTCGCCCCACTCACCCGCCACCCAGCGGGCAGGGGGACAGCGGCGCAAGTTGCAGCGCATGGTGGCTGGCGGCTTGGCGGTAGGTGGGCAGTGCGTGGGAGGGAGTGTGGCGCGTTGGTCTGCACTCTTGCAAAGGACTATGCGGTGGCGGAGGCCTGGCCCGCAGCTGGGGGTGCACTGCAGTTGGAGGGGGCATTTTATGCTTAGTGGGCACCCCCATCCCTGCGCGCACAGGGAATGGGGAGGATGCTGGTCCAATGGGAGGAGAGAAGGGGCCAGCTAACCTCCGACCAGTCCAAGGTGGCCCACTAGGGCTACCGGGAGGGGCTTGTGACCGGAGAGGGGTACCTCAGTGGACATCCAGCACCCAGGCCTTGCCCGGCGATGCACAGGGAGTGGGTTGGGTGCAGGCGGGAAGGGGCGGCTGACCTCGGACCAGTCAAGGGCGGCCCACTCGGGCGGGCAGGTGGGGCCTTGGCAGGCCTCCAGGACCGGTGGTCGTGGCTGCGGGCACGCGCTGTCATCCAGTGCTTTCTCCTCGACGGCCGACATGCGGCGCAGGCACACCACCGAGCGGCTGCGCACGCCTGCATCACAGCTGCGGCTGCAGCGTGACCAGTTCCCTACAACCCAGCTGTGGGGGATGTGGGGGTCTGAGCCTATGTAGGCAGGGCACCGTGACCCTGGAGCACTAGCATACCCTCCTCTCCAGCAACCAGCGTCATGGAAACTGACAAGGAGATTGCTGTTGCTCCTGCAGGGAGCATCCTGAACCCATACTTGGAACATCATCTCCCTGTACCCACACTGTGGGCGGGGAGGTATATCACCCCCCAAAATTGTGACTACCTGGACTTGACTAGGGAGCACCAACATTCTGTGTCAGATTCCAGGACAGCCCTGACCCCACCTTGGGGAACACCATCACCCCAATCCTGGGAGCACTTGCTCCTCTGATCTCAGCAGTACTGTCATTGCAGCACTTGTCACCCCGACCCTGCACCCTGGTGGGCACTCACTCGGGTGGGCAGGGCTCCGTGTTGCAGGCCCGCTGCCTCTTGGGGAGCTTGCTGTGGGCGCTGCAGTGGTGGGGGGCCACGGCTGAGCTGTCCAGCTGATTGCGACACTCCACGGCCTGTACCTGGCTGCCTGGGGGCAGTCGAGAGGCCGCTCAGCTCTGCCCGGCCCAGAAGGCGAGCCCATGTGACCAGTGCCCACCCCCTGGTCCCACCCGGCCTCACCACCCGCACACTGGGCCGAACACTTGGTCCAGGGTGCGTAGTGCCAGGAGTAGGGGGGCAGTGCATCGCGGGCGATGGGGGAGTTGAAGCGGTAGCGGAGGGCAGGCAGCTCTGTCCGGGCCAGCACCTGGGGTGGGGGGGGGGCATCCAAGGGAAGTCAAGCTCAGAGTCCCCACAAGGATGCTAATGTCCTCTTGTACCTCCCTCCCATCATTACCATGACGATGAGAGATGTGTTAATGGGTCCCAGGGCTTCTAGGCTCTGTGTCTGATTTGGCCCCGGTCGAAGCTGAAAGGTGGTCCCAGCTAGGGGCAGGCGATGGGGCTGGGGGGTCCCAGGCAGTCCTTCTAGCAGTAGGGACTCCTGGTCCCCCTTCAGGCCTGGGGGACAGCACAGGGATCAGAATCCCAGCCAAGCTGACTCCCAATCCTTATCCCCCCACCTCCAGCTCACCCAGATGGCTGAGGGAGAGGTTCAGGTCCTGGATGAAAATGTGGACAGAGCCTTTGGGGATCCAGACGACTTCCTCGTACCCTGGACAGTGGAGCTAGGTGTCACCCACTCAGCCCGTCCCCCACACCTGCCTACCTCCATCCCTGGCCCTGGATGATAGCAGCTAACCATTACCAAGTGCTTATAGGGACATCACACTGTGCCCCCAGCTCTGGCCCTGGAAAATAGATGTGTTATCACGCCCATTTTAGAGATGACAAAACTAAGGCTCAGAGAAGCAAAGCTACTCACCTAGGTTTGACAGCTAGAAAGTAGCTGGGCTGGGATTGAACCTAACTTTCCTGCCTCTCTCATTACCAAAGTGGCCCAATCCACCCCCCAACCCCATAACAAGCAGCAGGTCTGGGCCTGGGCAGAGAGGAGGGGGTACCATGGAGGCTCTGATTCACACAGGATGACATCATGGTTTTAGCAGTCAAGAGTTGGGTTTGCAATGGGCTTCACCACTTAGGACCTAGGCCCCTGGGAACACGCCATCCTTGCCCATTTGTGCCATCCGTGAGTCCATGATTTATCTGCCTGGACTCCCACACTGTCCCCTGAACCAAACTTGGGCAAGAGGCCTCCTGGATGAAGGAGGGGTAAGATTTAGGTCCCCACCCCCTTGGACATTTTAATTGCCAAGGTTTAGACACTTAAACTGACATTTAGCCCAAGCCAGTTCCTGACCCTGTTCTGGGGCATTGCTGGATCCCCAGGACTTTTTGGGGTCCCTACACCCCAGTGGGTCCCTGGGTCTGAGGATTTGCTGTTCTTGACTACTGTGGTGGGGCCAGCTTTTCCCTCAGCCCAGTGGGGAGTGTGACAGGAAAGTGAGGGCCTCTCACCAGTTCCAGCCAAGGCTGGGCTGAAGACCCCCTCGATGGTTTCACAGGCACTGCCATCACCCCCGCAGACTCGGCACTTGTCCTCGCGCAGGTCGGAGCCCAGGAACCGGTCGCAGCCCACATGCTGGGGAAGGCAGTGGTGGTGGGCTGTCAGCGAGGTGCCTTCCCCTCTTCCCCCATTCCTCCCTTCTCTCTGGGAGTCCCCTTCACCTTGCACTCGCCGCTGACACAAATGTCCACTGTGTCCGGGCGGCAGGGTGTCCCGTCCACCACAGCTGCCGCCCTCTCCGTGTAGAAGTTGAAACCTTCTGCTAGGCACGTGAGCGAACAGGCCTTCACGCCCCCTGGGGGGCACAGCCCCATCAGACCCAGCTCTGGGGCTCCCTGCTTGCTCCCTGAGGGAGGTGAGGTGAAGAGGGACAGACCCCAGATCCAAGGATGGGCAGGCCGAGCCAAAGGAATGGGGGTTCCCAGCTTCCAGTCTGGCACGCTGGCTCCTCAGGTGAGGGGAGGGCTCAGGACAGACCATGATGCCATATCCACCTTCTGCTGGATACTCCCACGGCCTCTTGAGCCCCCCACTCACCTCCTCGGTATGTCTTCCATGTGTAGAATTTTCCACGGAAGGGGACACTGTCAAATTCTGAGCACTGCATTTCCCTGAAGTCCTGGGAGCCGGGGGGACAGTCCTGGGGGCATGAGACAAAAAAGGGCGAGAGGTCAAGAGATGGAGTTACGGCAAAGAACTAATGCTCAGAGCAGAGATGGATTGGGGTAATAATGCCGGAGGCAGGGAGGCTGGGAGACCAGGGAGGAGGCTGTGAAGGATTGGATGGTGGCCTCGGTGAGGTCCAGGCAGTGGTGCATAAGAGATGAGACTAGGTGATTCATTAGATGTCGGGTGCAAGCTGGGGATGACACCTGGGTTTCTAGTTTTAGACCATGGGGCTTTTCTTGAGAGCAGGCCTAGAAAGGAGCAAGGCAAATCAGGGAAGGTGCCCAACACCTTCTGTGCGTGTGAGGGGGCATATGGACTCCCCAGACATGCGCTCACTTTCCCAGGTCGGGGGCTAGGTAACCCACCCGTAACTCAAAAACTCACTCCCTGTTCTTAGCACTCCCTGCTGCAGTAAACCTCCTGCTTATTGGGTGTGTACACACAGACGCGTTTACACCCAGGACACAGCCATGGGGAACCCCAGCATATAAAAAGGGGGCAGCAGAGAAGCTGAGGAAAGGAGACAGAAAGTGCAACCCAGGAGGGGCTGGGAGCGCAGGAGGCTGGTGATGCAGGCCAGGCGGGAGTTTTAGATAGGAGGCCGTGGTACCCGGTCAGAAGAAAGCGCAAGCAGAGGCTGAAAACGTGGCTACTGGGTTTGGTGACAGGGAGCTCAGCGACAGGTTTGGGGCAGGGGCGGAGCTCTTTGGAGAAATTGGGCTATGAAGGGAGGGGGCGGGGCGCGCTGTAGCGGGAAGGGTGTGTGTGTGTGTGTGTGTGTG